ATGCTGTTTTTCTGCAAAGGGACCAGAGTGACTGATCCATGTAAAGGAAAGAATGAATGGGGCCATGTGTCGTCAGATTTTGAGTGAAAACCTCCTTCCATCAACAAGAGCATTGGAGATGAAACATGGCTCGGTCTTTCAGCATGACAATGATCCCAAACACACCACCCAAGTAACGAAGGAGTGGCTTTGTAACAAGCATTTCAAGGTCCTGGAGAGGCCCAGCCAGTCTCCAGATATCAACCCCATGGAGCTCCGGGAGTTGACGTCACTTCTCCCGGCATGCAACAGTTCAAATCGAAATGGCGCCATCTTGGCAGGCAGAAGCCCGCAGCTGGGCTATTTGTTATTGTCAGAAAACTCAATCAAACGGGAAATATGGTAGATTCCTGTTGTGCCCCAGGATGCAGAACAGACGCGGACGACATAAGGAATGAGCCATCTACAGGATTCCCCAAGATCCGGAACACCGCAAACGTTGGATCATTGTAATAAAACGCGCTAGTGACCGGGCTAAAATGAAACTGTGGGATCCCGAGAGTAAAGGATTTTGCTTATGCAGTGACCACTTCATATCAGGTACTTAAACCAACGTTTCCTCAACTGTGTATGGTATTTATTTTAAATGCTTTTATTACGATTCTTAGTGGGCTTCTTAAACTTACTTAGGCGTTGCTTTTTCTGTCTTATTACTCATAGCAACAAGTAAACGTCACGTAAAACGTTGCCTCGTGATTTCTGCGTGCTGCGTTGTTCTGGGAATTTCTCCTACCCGGTAAACCGTCCTACCCGTTCTTCCTGAGCATGTGCGCGCATGCACACAACACAAAAAGGGAATGCTACTCTGTTGTCATATTTGCAGGAAAATAGGTAAGTTGTAAGTATTAGTACTTTTTATTGACGTTGATGTTTGATTTTTTGGGTTAGGGTTAGGGTTTGTGTCATCTAAAACACCGTAAAATTATCCTATGGGTAGGACGTTTCGCCAAAGTAGGATGTTTTCTCAGAACACCGTTTTATGATCACAGCAATTAACCGGCTAAGCTGTATTTAATTTTTAAGCAATGGTTGATCAATTGTCAGATCACACATAAAAAGCACTTTGGATTGCTATTATCTGTCTCACCGAGACAGATCTCAGACAGATCCTGAGACGTTCCTGCCTGACATATTTATTTTATTCACAGAAAAAAATCAGACTAGTGATTTCTCTTGGCGTTCAGTTTATGCATTCAAACAGCACAGCACTCTATTTAAACTTCTTACATGTAAATCTGTGTTATTTGTGTTTTTGTTTAATTAGTTTTATAAATTAAAAATGTCAGGGCATCTCATATCCGGTAAGAAGTCCGCTCCGGCAGCTTCTGGCGTTTTTAAAAAGTATCCCAGGGGCACGGTAAGGGTCGGAGATGTTTATTCTATTTAATTTCTGACTATATAAAACGATTTCTTCGGTTTTAAAGTGTGACGTAAACTCCGACGAAGTAAAATCCAAGCTGACCCCGTTCCTTTTGTTTACCTTTGTTGCCTGCCAACATGGCGTCTACTCTCTGAGTGTCACGTGGGGTCCGGAGCTCTATAGATAATCTTTGGAGGGAGTTGAAATCCGTGTTGCCCAGCAACAGCCCCAAAACATCACTGCTCTAGAGGAGATCTGGAGGAATGGGCCAAAATACAAGCAACAGTATGTGAAAGTCTTGTGAAGACCTACAGAAAATGTTTCACCTCACTGCCAGCAAAGGGTATAAATATATATATATATATATATATATATATATATATATATATATATATATTTTTTTTTTTTTTTTTCAGTCGTTTTCAATAAATTGCAAATTAAAAATGTTTCACACTCCGATTTCTTCTTCTTCCATGTTGATGCTCTACTTCAACCATGAACAATATGATTTTGGGCCACATTTCAAGTGGTTTTGTCTGTGCCTCTGGCACATTTTCCTTGTGTGTTGAGACGACTATAGAACAGTTTGTAAGAATTCAATCAAAACGACTCATGGCTGTGTTCCTATGATGACTTGGGGTTTATGAATCCATTCATGTATTCATTTCTCCCAGAATGTTTACAATTCTAATCAGATCATCTTACAAAAGAATGATCAGAGGAGTGTTCCTGTGTCAACTGTGATATTTCTGTTTCAGGAATGAAGGGCAGGGTGGGCTCAACGGGCAAGTTTGGAGAGAGAGGAGAACGTGGCCCTGCAGGCAAACGAGGCCCTGCAGGAGACAACGGAGATCTGGGACCACACGGTCCACCAGGCCGAAAGGGAGAAAAGGGGGAAAAGGGTGAACGGGGACCCAGTGGAACAGCGGGAATGGCAGCCTGTTGCCTAAATCTGCCTTCTCTGTAGGAATCACCAGCAGCTACCCTACAGAGAAGACCCCTATCAAGTTCAACAAGGTCCTCCTCAATGAAGGTGGACACTACAACCCACAGACAGGAAAATACATCAGTCCATACCCAGGGATTTATTATTTCTCTTATGACATCACACTGGCCAATAAACACCTGGCTATTGGGCTAGTGCAGAATGGTCAGTATCGCATCAAAACCTTTGATGCCAACACAGGAAACCACGATGTGGCCTCTGGGTCTACTGTTATGTACCTGAACCCAGAAGATGAAGTGTGGCTGGAGATCTTCTACCATGACCAGAACGGTTTGTTTGCAGACCCCAGCTGGGCTGACAGCCTGTTCTCTGGGTTCCTGCTCTATGCAGACACAAACTACTTTGACACACTGGCAGAAGATTATGCATGAAACTCAAAAAGAAGAAGAAGAAGAAGAAAATATCATTTCTATAGCGCCTCTCAAGATGAAAATCACGAGGCGCTTCAGAAAAACAAAAAATGTAAAAATGTAAAAAATAATTTAGAAAATGATTAAAAATCTATTTAAAATGAGCAAAAAATTGACAATTGTGATTAAAAAGGTAAAGAAAGACAGAGAGTGAACAGGAAAGAGGGAAATCAGTGGATCCTGAGGAAGGTGGAATAGGAGGGGAGAGCAGAATAAAGAGAGAGAGGTGAAGAAGGTCATACAAAAGCCAGCTTGAACAAGTGAGTCTTCAGCTGCTTTTTAAAGGAGACCACTGAGTCCACTGATCTCAGGCTCAGGGGGAGAGAGGTCCAGAGTCTGGAGGCCACAGCAGCAGATGATCTGTCACCTTTGACCTTTAGCCTGGTGCTGCACAACCAGTAGGCTTTGATCACTGGACCTCAGGGACCTGCTGGGGGTGTAGGGACTGAGAAGATCACCAATGTAAGATGGTGCTTGTCCATGTAAGGCCCTATAGACCAGAACCAGGATCTTGAAATGAACCCTGAAGTTGACTGTAGGGCTGCTCAATTAATCGAATTTTAATCACAATTACGATCTGAGTTTTGAACGATTATAAAAACAAAACAAGCCGATTATTTGCTCCTCCCACTTGCGCTGCCCTGAGTTGCAAATGAAGCGCTCCACAGTGTTGCCAACTTAGCATCTTTGACGCTATTTCTAGCAGCTTTTCAGACCCCCTTCTTGACTTTTTAAATCTTAAAAGTACCTAGCGAACACCTCAGAAACATCTCTGGTAACCCTTAGCTACTTTCTGGATAACTGTCGTTGACACTTCCTGCAGGTTAGCTAAACACTCCACCTGCGCTCCGGACCGTTCTTCAGGACATTAGGAAAGGGAATGATGTAGTGATGTGTCAGTCGCTAAAGAAACGGCTCTCGGAGTCTGCTCTGTTGGAGTAATCAGAGTGAGTGACACACACCGTACCTGCGGACTCCTGAGCCACTAAATACAGCTAAATGTGCGCGTGCGGCGCGCTAAACACATGTGCAGCTTGCCCCTGATTGCTGTGAGACTGGGTTGGGGGGTGGGGGGTGCAGCTGTGGTTGGGACAATTATTACATTAACTGATGGACTTGTAAATAAATAGTTTATAAATAAGGTAGAAATAAGTTCCTCACGCTGATAAATAATAACTAACCTCTCTGAGGACACGGTGCTAGTGTACTCTCCTACAGCACCTTGACACGACTCAATAAATGTTATGCAACATTTTGTGAACATCAATTTATTTGCGTTTATTTGTTATAAATGTCAATGTATAATTCTTGCTGTCAGTATTTGCATGATATTGGTATTTGGGTCTGTACTGGTTAGACTTAAATGAGTTAAACCAAGGTCTATAGCCCTTGGGTCATAGACTATGAGCTATAAGTATATTGGTCTTTTTATACTGGGAATCAGGAGTTATTTTAGTGATCATCTTGTTTCTTGTTTTTTTTGTCCTGATTGTGCCCTGAGCAATTTTATGACTGAATAAAAACAAATAAAATCAACATAAATTGAAAAATCGTCCTAAATGATCGTGATCTCAATTTCAGTCACCATAATTGTGATTATTATTTTTGCCATAATCGAGCAGCCCTAGTTGACTAGCAGCCAGTGAAGCTGGAGGAGAAGCGGGGTGATGTGGGTGTGTTTGGAGGACTTGGTCAGAAGCCGAGCACAGGCGTTCTGAACCACCTGTAGACGGTTCAGCACAAAATAACACCACTAACTACTGGTTATTGATGCCTCAGTAGTTCAGAACACGTGCAGGATATTCATATTTTGTTTTCATACAGATTTTTATAACTATCTCAAAAACATGAACAGAAATTGTGATTTTGAACTAGGCTGAAATATTTCAGTAGCTTAATTAATAACAATCATGAACTCTGGAGATTTTAAAATCTGAATGTGTGTGTGTGTGTGTGTGTGTGTGTGTGTGTGTGTGTGTGTGTGTGTGTGTGTGTGTGTGTGTGTGTGTGTGTGTGTGTGCATGTGTGCGTGCATGTGTGTGTTGCTTTCACAAAATAATATTTTTTGTTTTTTTCCAACTTTCTCACAGATAATTTGATAAATTTAAACATTAGTGGAAATTAATGATAGGTGCATAATCATTTGTCATTTGTAGCATCTGTTTGTAAAAGATTTAATGAACTATGGTAGCTGTTAATTTATTTTGCATATTTAAAAGATAAAGTCATGAACATTAATAGGGTACATTTTAATGCAGAGATAAACTTCGTAAATTAATAGAACTGCTGAGGAATTTTCAGCTTTTTCATTAAACATATGATGTAAAAAGCATAGAAATATTCACATGTTCACACCAATAAAAATGAAATGAAAACTTTTCTTTTGTGCATTTTCAAACATTAAGTAAATATGCTAAAGAAGGCTTTAGAGAGGCTTTGCACTAGATCAGAAAGTTGCCTAAATTAATTAGAGGGCAAGCCTGCAAAAACAGCAAAAACTCAACACTTTTTAATAAACCCTCAAGCCATTTGTATTACTTGTGGGAAGTGATCTGTGTGCACAGACCTGCTGAAAAATGAAAACTAAGTTCACCGGCAGCCCAATCACTGCTTGTAAGTCTGCTGTAGAGATGAGAGAATCATTGAAAAAAAAACTGATGGACAAATGGCTAACTGCCCTTTTCTGTTAATCCCTTAAATACAAACAATGATGAGGTTAATATTATTTCAAAAGTTAAGTTACAAGGATTACTCTGGCCCAAACTTTTAAAAAATCACCAAACCATATTTAAACTGGTATAACCTGTAATAAAGCAATTTAGGCATGCTCTATTTCAAACATATTTTAAGTAGGGATGCAAAAAAAGTACCACTTTTTTTTCTAATTTTAAGTTTACTTTTGTTGCTATTGTTCTACAGATGTGGTATAATTATTTAAATAAAAAACAGTTTACAGTGGATTGTAAATTGATTTTGTTTTTCATTTTAAGTCTTCAGGTTCTTTATATTGAACATGAGTGTTGAAATTAACCTACATATAAAGACCTTAAAGATGATTACAGGCTATAATATATTTATTTTAGGAATACAGAAGAGCGTGTGACATGTGCAAACATGTTGACACCAGGGAGCAGTTTAATTGAGTTTGAAATTAAATTATTTACTTTAAAAAAAGCAATCGAATTTTCTCATCAGAAACCAGGAGATGACCCAGAGATGATACTTGACAGTAGAGCCATATTTTGTCTTCAAACAATAAAAAATGAATTATCTGGCAAAAGAAACAAAAAATCATTACGCATTTTTTCGTGATATGAACATAATGGCATCAAAGAAAAAACTGTGTTTCGACTACTGTACTTTTTGGGACTTCTCGGACACTGTAGTAAGCACGGGTCGATGCACGCGCGTCGTTTACGTCGTTACTAAGCAGCCGTAGCTAGCTAACGGCGTTTGTTAGCAGCAAAATGTGTTGGTCGGCTTTAAGTTCAAGTCGTACGTATAGGAGGATTTGTTTGTCTTTTCAACTATGTGTTTGTGACACGATACGTAAATAACAAAAGTAACACTCACTACCATGGCTTCCTCACGGTAAACCCCATTTTCTGGGTTTATGAAATAAACCGTTATGATGCTCGTCTTTAAGATGCTAAGCTAACGTTAGCTTTGTTGTGAAATGACTGCCTCCATTTCTGTTTTAGCGACATTCTTGAAAAACTGGCGATGAAACACCGGGCTCTACAAGAAACCCTAGTGAAAAACAAACATGCAGATGATGTCCAGGTGAAGTAATAATAGTATCAACAACAGAACATGTTGAACACTATATGATTAAGTAAATGCATTTACTTGCAGTGAAGTAGTTTTCCCTGCACAGAATGAATGAGCGTCCCCCAGAACAAGTTACAACATGTCCAAGTAGAGTCAGGCTGAGGCTCATTTGATTTTACACTCCAGGTAGTGGAGCTCCTAACGTTTTGATCAATCTAACTTACTCGATAGGCTCTGGTTCCTTCAGCCAAGGTAAATGTGGGGAAGCTACAACCTACAATGAAGGTTGGTTTGTGTTTTGTTGTTTAGCTTCTAGGTTGTAGTTACTCTGTGTGTACGCTTGTCTTTACCCTTTTTCAGCCTCTTTAAACCAGATTTTGCTTAAGTTTTGAGTTGCTGTCTATCTAAAGTGTGTGCGCGTGCGTGTGTGTGTGTGCGTGTGTATGTGTGTGTGTGTGTGATCAGGCAGCTGAAAGCAGTGATGAAGACCCAGGAGAGACTCTCAAAAGGACACTGAGGGCTCAGAGACAGAGGAGAAAAGAATTGGTACATCTCCCCTTGATTTGCTGTGTGCTTTTATATTTTTTATACTTTCTCACATATGATGATTTCTTACTAACAGCCCTGGCTGCTCTCTGTTTTATTAGCTGCTCAGCAAGTCTTCAGTCCAGGAGTCTCATAACAATGAAGAAACAGAGGAAGTCTCTACCATTAAGCGCTACAGTCCTAATGATAAGTTGGCTGATAAGACTGAAGAAAGTTCTGTGATTTCAATAAAACCTCCAAGTGGTTCTTATGGTTTGTATCTTTGACACTTCTCACATCCATAACACATCTTTTGCGATTAGATTACATCTTATTTTGGTCAGGTTACACCCTCACAACCATATTTTAGAGATTGAACACCAATATATTACCTCTACTACTTGTGTTTAATCATGCAGGACATTAGGTGATTCTCAGATGTGACTTAATACAGATTTATGTTGCAACGGCTTAACAAGTATTGATAAAAGCCCCCCTGGCCACCTGAGGGATTGGTTTTGTTAATGATTACAATTAGACCTGCAGTTAAAGAGCTGGTTCACTGAGAAACAATTTTTTTTTACTTTTTTTTTTCCCCAAATGATCGGTCACTGAGTTTTTCATACAGACTGAACATGAAAAGAGTCTTCTACACCTATCTTCTGCATTAGCTTCTGATAGAAAATAGACAGAAAAAGGCTCGGTTCAGAAAAGACTGACAGATCTCAGGAGCTCTTTTTGTGGGCGAATGTTAACGCCCCGGTGTTCCACTGAAGGTTTTAGGAACTCTTTTATTCCTGCTGCAGTGCGTTTTTACAACGAGCGTATTGTATGATCGTATATTTGATATTTCTATCATGGTTGTGGCTTATAGGAGTGTCTAGTGAATTTTTTTATTCGTTTTTTCATTTATTTTTTGTTGCTTGTGCGTGTGTGTTGTTTTTTACTTGTCCATGGCTATTCAATGTCCCATTTGGGGATTAATAAAGACAACCTTAACCTTAATCTACGTCACTTAGGGTTGGGCATCGTTTGATTTTGAACGATTCAGATTCCAATTCCTCATTTTGATTCTGGTTCCTATCGATTCCCGATTCCGATTCTTTCAAGACATGACATGCTTTAAATGAGCCAGCTAACCACAGGTCCTACTTGATGAAATAATCTTAACTTTAACATGAATTTTAACTCTATGAACAACAACATCACCTTCATTTAGACAAAAACATGTTTTGGAGAGAAAAAGAAGACGACTTGCAGCACAACCAGTGTGTTTGTTTCTGACCACAACCAAAGTCTGGAAGCAGCCTCTGGGATGAGAGGCTAAATGTCTCCAACATATCCAGACACATCCAGCTGTCTTCAGCTACAACTCTCAGGCTGATCATGTCCAGGATGACTGAGAACTACACCTCCATGCTGCACCAGCTTCAGTCAGAACAGGAAGTGAAACTTAAATGTAGCTGGCTGCGTCTGACTGCTGACGCTCCGTGTGTGTTTTTATTTCTGCAGTGAGACAAACTCACCTCACACCGTCCAGAGTTTGTTCTTTAAAGCTTCTATTAAATCCACCGTGTTGACGTATTTAACACGTTTCCTCTACGCTGCAGGAGTTAACGTTTACATTACGGAGTAAAGGTTCGGCAGACGCGTTTGTTTATATTTAGCAGCTCCGGTGGGGGAGGGGGGACTCGTGCTGCACACAGACAGCTGGTGTGGTCAGCTCTGAAAAGCGTTCATCACAATTTGCAGATCATGTTTATTTTTCACGTAGATCGGCCGCGGATTCCTCTGCCGGTCGGCATTCTACGAATCGAAATAAAAAACTTTGACTAACAGTTGGTCCCGGTTCGATGCCCAACCCTACTCACAATGTCACTTAATATTCATGGACTCACCCATCTTGGCTCGCCAGGGAAGTCTGTTGTTGATTTAGCGTTCAGTAAACACCAGAGGACGTTTCGAGTAGCTGAAGCTAATTTTTTGCATTAGCAGCTCCACCACACAGTTGAACTTCAGGTTTGAGTTATTTGTGGAGACAAAACAAGGTTGCAAAGCAAACAAGGTCAGTGGTAGAGTCACATTGCTGTTAGCCAATCAGAGATGAGATATACAAATATCAGGAAATAAGAATTCAAATCCTGTCATCTGAAACTACTTTCTCCTCTAGCTTAATGCTACGTCTTCAAGCAGGTGCACCAGAGCTTTTTTTTTACCCCAGTGAAAGACTTACAAGGCATTCATTCCTATTATGGGCCACTGCAAATGTATTAGTAGTATGGGTGAAGTGGACCTTTAACATTGTCCAGCTGTGACTGACTCACATGTTAGCACCAGCTCTGAATCAGGTTTCACCAGTAGTACAGGTATTTGAGTAAAGGAGGATTCAGCTCTCTCAACATTTTCCCTGTAGCTTCAGACATGAACAGACATTTTAATATAGTTTATAATGAGAAAACTGATATCAGAGAGAAAGAGGAGTGAACAACCACATTAGTTTTGATCAACAGAGGTATGCACGTCTGCTTGGCTCTGTCAGATGAATTAACAAGTAACACACAATGCTGAACAAAAATTGGAGTTATTGTTTCCCAATGTGCTTTTATTCAAGGTTCAGCAACCCCACAGCCTTCCAGCTCCGTGTTTTTAGACACCTTTGTGACACAGCACTTGCAGGAGAAGCTCAGAGCGGCACGGGTGAGTACTTTTTTGTTCTGGCATGCAAATACGTTGTTATTGTAATTAGGATTTAAATCATACAGTCACACATAGACATTTTAGTCTGTGCAGCATGGACAATCTACATACTTGGATTTAAAGCTGTTTGCTATCAGCTTTGTTAGATCCTGAGAAAGAGCAACAATATTAGCATATGAAGCTATATCATGTATAAATATCCAGGATATTTATACAATCGATAGAAGTTCCTACACCAACTGTCTTGGTCTATATTTAATCCAAAGATTAATATTTAATTTAAGAAATTTTATTAATAGCAAAAGTTTATTAAACAGAAGACTTAATGGAGTCTTTGCTTATTCAATAACCAAATGTACACCACTCTGTGTTTCATTTCAAAGAAGAGTCAGGTTTAAAAAGTTAAGAATGTATTACTAATAATTTAAAGATGACCATTTGTAACAGCTTTGATATTAAAACTTGGTATTAAAAGCAACCTGTGTCTGGGTGAAAACTAAAGTGGAATGCGTGGATGGATTCTCAGAGTTTTCTTTCAGAGAGAGAAACACGTTGTGGGTGAAAGAGTTGTTGCAGCTAACTGAGTTGTTTCTTAGAGAGAACAGCGTCGGACGCCATCTGTGTTCCACCTCACCCAGTTAGACGACCCTCTGTGTGGATCCGGAGGTCAAAGGGAGGATGTTGTCAGCCTCTGGGTACTCGGTCCGGTAGGGGAGACCCGAGTGGTACCGACTCTCTGGTCCAAGAGTTGTCGCAGGGTACACAGTGTTGAGCTTGCGTCTGGCTTAACTCTGAAGGAGTTTTGCGTCCGCTGGTGCAGGTGGTGTTTATTCTGAGCGATTCTATCGGCGTGACAGGTGGAGGCTTCGGGCGGCCGACCCTTATCCTCGTGGAACTCTCGTGCCACGGAGAGACTTTGGTTGGTTCAGGACTGAACTTCAACTGAGGAGTTTTTGGTTTTATTAAAACTCAGGACACGCCCTCTCAGAGATAGAAAGCTTTGGTTATGGAGCAAAGACGTGTGAGGTGCAGTTACCTTTACCCTGCATGGTGTGTACACGTGTACATGACCTTCTGGTTACTGATCAAACATTACTGATTATCATAAACAATAATTATTATTATTAACCAAAGAATAATAAGTCATTTCAGTAATGAAATACATTTATAATGAACCATGATGATTATGTATGAACCTTGAAGTAAACAGTGAAAAGAGTTTATTAAAAATGATTATTTTAAATCTTGAAGTGTCCTTCGTCTTGGACGGAACAGCAGACAGAGAAAAGATGGTTTTTAGCAGACTTTACGCCTCCTGTGATGGATAAGCTGTGGACTGAAGTTCAGCCAGGACAGCGTGACCCAGCTGGGGAAGTGTGTGTGACCTTTGGGTCACAAATGAGGCCATTCATGTCGCTACATGTGCAAGGGACCCTTTTGACACATCACGCCTGGATCTTGTGTTCCAGTCTAAAGGAGAGAAGCTTCAACAGCTAGAGGCTTCTGTACAGTCACCCAGTCGACTCCAACAGCTCAGAGACAGAGACACCGTGACGAGGTTTGACACAAGGGTGAGGTCAACCACAAAAGAACGCTGGTTTCCAAAATAGCTGGAGCGATGAATTATTATTTAATTTAGCAGGTTGATCCAGTCGGTGCAGGAAGACATGATGACCCTCCGGTTCTTCACAACCGGATCAAGTTCAGAGAGGCTGCAAGAAGAGTAAGACACTTAGATTCAGACTGTACAAAAACACTTGTATGGAGTTTTATAATTACCATTAATATTGTACGTGCAGGTGAGAGACCTCCCAACGGCTGAGGAGTCATACAATTTCTTTACTTTCAACTTTGAGCCTGATCGTCCGAATGAGAGGCTCAGCAGAAAACGGCAAATACGAAGAAAATCTGCAGAGGAGGCCAGAGATGAGGAGGAAGGAAAGGCAGCTGAGGTGGAAGAAGATGCCGGAGGGGAAGATGATCAAGATGAAACTGTAAACCAGGTACCACATCAGTGAGAGGATTGTGCTCAGATGATTATTTTTACTTGTTCTAAAACATTCACTCTGGTTTTCTGCACCTGCTTAAGAGTGAAGAAGCTCACCTGGTTCAAAATGCAGATGACTTGTTTGTCATTGATCATTCTCCTCAAGACTTCCTGGTAGTGAAGAAGGCTGAATATGTCAGTTACCACACACGTATTCAGCAGGAGAGTGAACTGTTCACACCGAGCTTTCGAACTGGTAAAACATGTGATTCACACTGGTGACGTACAGCCGGCTGCTCGTTACCTGGAACCGTGTCTTTATGATTCGTTGTGTTGCAGTGCCAGCTTCGGTCAAACTGCCTGAAAACATGAAGCCTCGCTTCCTGGAGGAGGAGGGTCTCTACGTGGGAAAGAGGCCCGCCATATCTCTGACCAATGAGAACATTCTAGAGAACCGCCTTTTGAAAATGGACGAGGTGTCAGCTTGCTGCTCTGCTCAAACAAATAACTGTCCTCATTTTGATGTTAATATTCAAACGTGTTTTTGTGATGTTTGTTTCTCCTGAAGGGAAGGAAGTGGTTTGGAGATGATGGGAGGATCATCACTCTGCCTGACCCTGTGAAAGAGTCGTCCACGCGACCGCCACTGGCTGACATGGAGGAGGACCTTCATCCTGCACTGCAAACTGTTTACCGGAGGGTAGT